CAGCACCTCGTCGTCTAGCCAAGCGTCCGCCTCCTCGGCCACCGCCTCCGCCTCCGCCTCCTCCTCCGCCTCCTCGGCCACCGCCTCCTCCTCCTCCGCCTCTACCGCCCCGCCCCGCCCGCGGGTCTCCAGCCGCGCCGAGAGCGTTGCGCAGAGCACAATCTCGCGCCACAGCGCCTGCTCGAGGGCGAGCAAGAAGGGCTGCGAGTACGCGTCGTACGCACGGCCGAGCCCAAACCGCGCTCCGCCCTCGCCGGCGAGGCCCGCCGCGCTCAGCTCCCGGCCAAACTGCGCCTCGAGCGCGCGAGCAACCGGGTCCGCCGAGTTCAGCGCCGTCGCGGCGGCGGCGGCGGCCTGCCGCGCCGCGGCGGCGGTGGAGGAGATGGAGAGCGAGAGGTTCAACGGCGCTCGCTCCTCGATGGCGGCGCACGCCTCGCCTTGGTCGCCCACCGGCAACGCCTCCGCCTCCGCTGATACCGCCGCCGACCAGTCGATTCGGCTCTCGGCGCTCGCCCATGTCACACCTGCAGCTGCCGAGGCGGCGCGCGCGGCTTCATTGAGGGCGGAGCCGTCGGCGAAGTGGCCGTTGCGGCGGAGGTGGAGGCGCGCGGCGGCCTGCTCCTCCTCGTCAGGAAGTAGCAGCACGTCGCCTCGCACGAGCGGCGCGTCGGAGCGCACGCCGATCGCTCGCACGCGGCCGACCGCCACGGTGAGGGCGATGATGCCTGTGCGGTCGATTCACGAATCGGTTACGACATGCTGACGCTGCGATGCTGCTGCTGCTGCTGCTGCTGCTGCTGCTGCTGCTGCTGCTGCTGCTGCTGCTGCTGCTGCTGCTGCCGCTGCTGCCGCTGCTGCTGCTGCTGCTGCTGCTGCCGCTGCTGCTGCTGCTGCTGCTGCCGCTGCTGCTGCTGCTGTGCGATGATGCCTGTGCAGTAGATTTAGTGCTGCTGCTGCTGCTGCTGTCGCTAGAGATGCGGTTGCTGCGATGCTGTCGCCAGTGATGTGGTTGCTGTGATGCTGTCGCTAGTGATGCTGCTGCTATTGCTGCGGTTGCTGTGTGGTGATGTTGGGTTCTACAATTCCGGCTCACCGCCGCTGCGGAGGCGGCGAACGTCACGAAGCTCTGTCAGGACGCCGGGGCTTGCGAGGGCGCGGTAGGGCGAATCGGTCGGCGCGGCGGCGGATGACTCAAAGTGCGCAAACAGCCGCGGCCCGCCCGCGGCGCGGGCGAGCGACTCGAAGGTGTGGATGAGTGCCGGGTCAAAGATTCGGAGCACTTGCACGACACCGGGCAGCGGGCTCGCCCACGGGGCGCAGACGAGCGGCAGGTCGGCGAGAGAGCCGGGTGACGCGTCGCCTGGCTCCGCAGAGGCGGCTCCCGGGCAGGAGGCGGCGAAGCAGCGCTCCAGCAGCTCCTGTTGCTCTCCGCCGCCCGAGGAGGGGACCAGAGCGAGGAGGGGACGGCGCGCCCGGCGGCTGACGGCGAGATGGTGTGTCGTTCGGCGACAGCCCGCAAGGCCGTGCAGCAGGGCCGCGGTTGGCGTTGCCAGCGCGAGGGCTAGGGCGAGGATACGCGGCGACAGCATCGGCGCGGGTTAGGACCGAATGGCCGGCGCCGGGCAAGGTCATTGATTAAAAAAGAAAAATTCTTCCGAGATTGCAATCAGTCTCAGATGTCCCTCCCTTGGGTTGTGTGTTTTCTTTATTTCTTTCTTTTCAGATGTCACGATGCATCCGAAGGGGACCCCAGCGCCGGCATCATCCGTAGAGGCACGAGTGTTCGAAGAGAGAGTGGACCTGAGCAACAACATGACTTGGAGGCAAATGATCGGAGTGGGAGTCAGAAATGTGGTCCTTGCGCGAGGGGAGCTCGATAGACTCGAGGGGCCAGGATACGCCGCAAGGAGGACGGAGTTGCGCCGAGAGGCGAAAGAAGCCGCGAGAACAAGGGACCGGCAGGCGGCGGCGTCGCAGGACGAGGCAGAAGAGAACGACGCGACAGAGGGGGAAGTGACAAGGGAGAGAACGAGAGTGGGACAGCCGCGAGGTGGCATGAAGGTTGCAGCGAGAAGCGGCGAGAGACTGCGAAAAGAGATACGAGGAGGCAGACCCCCCAGGGTGGGCGACGGCTAGCGCATCACACCCTCCTCTCCTTAAAATCCCTGTGTGGTGGCGGCGTGCCGTTCTCCCATCCCTCCCTTGGGTTGTGTGTTTTCTTTCTTTCTTTCAGTCTTAGCGTGATAGGTTCCTGACTGCACACAGGACCTTTGAACGTGTGGGCGGCAGCTGTCTGTTTACAGGCGCTGGCCGCCCGCGCGCGCGCCGGACCGGCTCCGGCACGTCCGGCGCCGGGCGGCGCGCGTCCACACTGCGCGTCGCGCAAAAGGCGAGCGCTCGCCGCCGCTACGGCGGCGGCGGCGGCCGACGGCCGACGGCCGACGGCAGACGCCAGACGGCAGACGGAAAAGAAAAAAATGGATTTGTGAGGTGGGGAAACCCGGAGCGCAGAGCCAACCCTCGGGACCCGTGTTGACTTTAAGGCCCTTGCCCTGCGAACGCGCACCCCCGGGCCGGAGAAGGGGGACGCGTGAATCCATCCCTGGTGGTGTCCTCCACTCTCGCGCTGCTCGCTCGCCCGTGCGGAGGGCATGGCCGCGGAGGAGGCGAGTACGCGCTGCGCTGCGCAAAGCTGCGTGTGCTGAAGGTGCATCTGGTGCTTCCTTTCGGAAGTGCGCACCTCCTGCAGCTGGTGGAAGGCCGTGCCGCCGCTCGCCTGCTCCGTGGACAGGGCGGGGAGGCGGCGCCGCAGCGCCGCAGCGTCCGCTGCACGCCGGTGCAGCACTCTGCTGCCTGGTGAGCAGCCTGCTGGTGGTGTGCGCGGTGTTGGCGAGGCGGCTTTGGCGCTGTACTGCCAGCCGAGGCGAGTGGCGCGCGGCACGCGCGGCGCCGCGCGTGGCCCGGACGGCGCCAGAGAACGCGCTCGATGAGCCAGCCGGGGCATCCCCCGGGTGTGTGTGTGTGCTGCTGGCTGGTGCTGGTGTATCCGCGCGCCTTGCGGGGGGGCGGGGGGGCGGGGCGGGGGGGGGGGGGGGGGAAAAGACCCTCTTAGCGCCGGCAACCCCGACTTTTGCGACGGGATTTGGGTTTATATTATACCACGGGATTTGGGCCCCGAAAGGCATCTCTAGCAGCGTCGTTACGCATGCGCCCTCCCCTCCTGGGCGCATGCGCCTCACATCTCGCCAGAGCATAAGCTCGTGGTGTGCGACGAGACGAGCTTTTCGCCATCGCCGCGAGCAGCAAGCACCAGCCGCGCCGCGGTCCCGCACCCGTCGACGAAGCTCCGGGTGCTGAGTGGGATCGGCTCCCCCCCCTTGGGATCAAAGCTTCCACGACCTCGCACCCAACACACACACACACAGAGCTAGGCTAGGTAGGTAGAAGGCTGCCAAAAAAGAAAACAATGGTACGCGTCTCCCTTTGGCCGCGTTGACGCGGTTTTTGCATGGCCCTCCCAGCAGCCTGCGAGGCGCACACGCGGCAGCACAACAGCGCCGGTGCTGCGACCGCCGGCGGGCTGAAGGGCGGAGCGTGGGGCTACTGCGCCCATCTCCGGGCATATGGTCTCAATTTTGATTTTGGGCTCGCGAACAGCCTTTTGGCGCTCAGGCCGTCATCGTCCTTCGAGTTTGGGTGTGGCCTCGGTTTGTACACCTCCTGGCTGTACCAAGTCGGGGACGTGCAGCCCGCTATTGGGGTGGAGCCGATGCCCATGCCTTCGTCCATCTTCCGCGCCGAATCAGCCTGGCCTCAGCAGCTCGTGAGCGATCTGCTCAACGAGAGCGCCGGGTCCCAGGAGTGCGTACGCGCACTCGGCCAACAAGACCTTGTCTTCAGTATCGAGGTGGCCGAGCACATTCCACGGCATCTGCATGCGGCTCTCGCTGATTTGCTCGTGTCACGCACCCGCGGCTTTCTTGTGTTCAGTGCAGGGCGTCCGGGTCAGCCGGGGAGGGGCCATATCGCCAACCGACCGACCGACGAATGGGAGCGTGAGTTCACGTCACGAGGGATGATATTCCTTCCTCGAACCACTGCGCGCTTCAGGGGCGCGTCGCGCAACGGCGAGATCAGGAGGAACGTCCGCGTCTTTGCTGCAGCTCGCGCGCAGCTTGGGATGGCGTTGGATGCGCCCCAGCCCGGCACCTGGGGCGAGCCGGCACCCTCCGCAAGCCACAGTGCGTACGTGAGCTCCGGGTGCCGCGCTCAGATGTGGCGGGGGCTCGAGACAACCGCGCACGATAAGTGCAACGCGACCCATGCGGTTAGCGGCCGCAAGCTGCTGAGCGTGACACGGCACTACGCCAGCGGGGGCAAGCGGGTTGAAGAGGCTGGCAGGCTGTTCGCCGTGCCTATTCCCGGCCACGCAGACGGGTCGTCGCAGAGGGCGGTGAATGACACCGAGGCCATTTGGTTCCCGCGCCACCGACTGCGTCAGGGAGAGCTAGCGCTCTGGCCCGCCCTTGTCCAGCAGGCAGCGGACGACTGCTGGGGCTACATGCAACTCTCTTGAGATGTCATGCTTGCGTCCCCTGCCATCAGTGGACGCTTTTCTACGATCCGTTTCCTTGCAGCTCTAACTTCACGACGCTCGAGGTTCGGGGTTTTAGCAGCTGTGAGATGTGACACAGCGTTGCGGGCGATTTATGTCAAAAGGCTAAGCTCGTAAAAATCACGGTCGCGGCAGGCAAAAAGTCCCCGGGAGCCGGGTTGTTGCACGAGTATATGGGGATCACGATGTCTCCTCGCTCGCGGGATCGCTCGCCGCGTCGCTCGCGGCATCGCTCGCAGGAAAACATCGACAGTCGTCTCGGCCTTCCCTGTTTTCCCGGCAGCCGAAAGTCCTTCTTTCGTTCTCAGTATCAATTATCTCAATATCGCCGTAATTCATTAATTGCTTGGTCTCGGCTCTTCCTTGGTTCAAGGCCGTTCTGCGGCCACCGACTGCTTCACCCAACGGACGCTCAACCGCCAGCACGATTGTGCACAACTCATCCACGAGATCCCGTGCGCTCGCCCCGCCGCTATACCCGATGGTTGGCGGCGTGTCCGATCTCGCGTCGGCGCTGGAGCGGAAGACCTCGCTCGATTCGCTCTTCGGGAGTGACTCAAGCCGCTCGCGCAGATCCTCACTCACCGGATCATGCTGCAGTCGCTCCCACAGGTCCTCGCTGATCGGATCGTGCTCGACACGGCGCAAGCGCTCCTCCTTGGTCCAGATTGGCACAGGCCACGCCCAACTCACTGGGCCGAGACGGCGCTCGTGCTGCGACCTGGCCTCGCTCTCCAGGAGCCGCGCGAGCGAGGTGGACGGCTCGTTGCGCTCGCTGGTGGCAAGAGAGGTGGACGGCTCGGTGCTCTCGCGCGTGACGAGCCTGGGCGCTGGCCAGTTTGGGCGCGCGCCTTCCCGAGTTCCGGGCATGCCAGCCTGCGCCAGCAACCTCCGATTAAGCCGTCTCCGGTGCGCAGGTGCGTCTCGCTCGTCACGGATGGGCGCGGGACGCCGTACGCCTTGAAGGCGCTGTGGAAGGGGCAGCTCCTCGCGTCGGACGGCGTCGGGGCCGTCGTACGCGAGCGCGACCTCCTCGCCTCCGTGAGCCACCCCGCAGTCGTCCAGCTCGCCGCGTCCTTCCAAGACGCGCGGCGCGTGTTCCTGCTGCTCGAGCCGGTGCTCAACGATGGGCTCAGCACGCCTCTCCCTGTGCACAGCGCCTCGCCGCACGAAAAGGTGTGATTAACAGGCCCTCGGCGGCGAGCTCTTTGCGCTGATCCACATGCTCGGGCGCTTCGACGAGCACCACGCCCGCTTCTACGCCGCGAGCGTCGCCGACGTGCTCGGCCACCTGCACGACGAGTGCGGCATCGTGTACCGCGACCTCAAGCCGGAGAACCTGCTTCTTGACGGCACGGGCCACATCAAGCTTTGCGATTTTGGCCTCGCCAAGCGGCTGCGCGCAGGCTGCGGCTGCGTGCGCGCAGACGAGCGCACCACCACCATCTGCGGCACGCTCCTCCCTGCAGCGATGGTGCTCCAAGCGTCGCCCCGGAGCCCTCCTGGAGCCCTCATGTAGGCACGCCCGAGTACCTCGCTCCAGAGATGGTGAGGGGCGAGGCGTACGGAGTTGCGGTCGACTGGTGGGCGCTCGGGCTGCTGCTGTTCGAGATGCTCTCCGGGGTGCCGAGATTTGCCGAGATTGGCCGAGATGCGCATCGAGAGGGGGTGCAACGAAGCAACACCAGTATCCATTGCTGCCTTCGCTAACCTCCGCCGCCGCTTCACAACCACCGCCCTCCATCGCCGCCCCCGCCACCTCCAACATTGACGACTACCTTGCAGGTGCCGGCCTACCGCGCCGACAGCGACAAGGAGGCGCGTCGCTCCACTCTCGCCCCTTGAACGCAGCATGCGCACAGCTCATCCGCCACCCCGCCAGGGGGGTCGACCGCCCGCTCCCCGCTGACGACCGCCCCCGCTCACTGCGCGCCCTCGATCCCCGCCCCACGCAGGTGTACGCAAAGGTGCTGCACTCCGACCCCGCGCTGCTCGTCGTTGTGGAGCCTCCGACGGCGGCGCTATCGCCGAGATGTAGCCGACATGTAGCCAAGCAACCTGCACGCAGTCTCCACCTCGCGGCTCGACATAGCGAAGACGTAGCCGCGGTGTCCCGAGATATTGCCGAGATGTTGCTCTGCGCCCGGACAGAAAGGAAAGCTGCCAGGCAAGAGACGGACGACGGACGCGAACAGGCGGCGCTCATCGGCGCGCTGCTCCAGAAGCTGCCCGAGAAGCGTCTCGTGGGGCGTGAGGCCGTCGGCGCGGCGCCCTTTTTCGACGGCTTCGACTGGGAGGCCGCGCCCTAGATGCTAGTACTCCCCCCCTCTCCCTCTCGTCCCTAGATTGTGCAATGCAGCGCTCAATAAGACACGACGTCATCTTGATCGTCACACAACGCCAACTGAACGCAGCAGCATGAGCTGTATCCCGTATTCAATCGCGATGCACGTAGCCGTGTTCACGCCTTGACGCCGTGAAGTGTTCATGACGCAGGCGCTGCGCGGTCGGCGGATGCGGCCGCCGTACGTCCCTCGCTTGGCGCATGCCACCGACACGTCCAACGTCATCCAAGTCGAGAAGTAGCCGAGATGCCGAGATTGGCCGAGATCGACGAGCCCAGATGCGATCCCTGCATTCCAGCAAGTGCGCCAGAAGGCACGCATTCCACCGCACTCAGCTGCATTGTAGCAGTGACCATCTGCCTTCACAGCCTGCACATTCGTGCACGGCCTAGCACTGCACGTCACCGCACTCCTACCCCCCCCCCGTCCTTGATCTTGCCAGGTCGACAAATACGCGCGCTGCTCGTCGGAGGCGGACGGGGCCCTGTGGGACCGCCACCTCTCGACGGCGCTGCTCAAGGCGCGGGAGGACCCCTTCCGCGCCTTCCCCTGCGACGTCTGGAGCATCGACAACAACGTCTGACGAGCCTTCAGTCGGCACTGGCAGCCTCCGCGCCGCCCCTGTGTTTAATGGCATAGCGCTCCTCACCGAGTGCCCCGCGCAGGCACCGACACCGATGCAGGTTGCCGGGGCGCGCTCTCTTTAGTTTATAGCATAGAGTGCAGAGTTACGCGGATACACACCGCTGTGAGAAGGCTGTTGCTCTTGGTGTGTCGAATGCTTGTGTTGTGCGCAACCGTGGCCAGGTTTGCACGCCACGGACACTTCTTTTCCACTCTGCACCGTGGGGCTCCTGCCCGTGTCCGGGCGTGGAGATGCGAGGGTCGCCCCCCCTTGCCCCACCACACTTTGTGTGTGTGGCGAGACGTTTACCTTACCTCACCTTACCTTACTCTGCACCGGATGACATAGAAGAACAACGCGCGAGGCACAGCACCTGGTCACTCCTCTCACAGGCTGCCCTGAGACTGAGCCCAGTCACGCAGCCCGACCCGCCCCGTTCGTCTCTTCCCCAAACCCCATCCGAGTGCGCTCTGCTGCCATCGCCTCGGCTATTCTCGCCGCCTCGTCGTCCGCCACGGCTCCCAACCGCGCCGATTCTTTCCCCGCTGATGTTTCAACCCGTGTGGCCTCCGCGTGTGAGGAGGCGGTCAGTCTTGCCGCCTCGGCCTCAGCGACAATCGCCACCCGTGTAGCCTCCGAGGCCGCTGCCGCCAGTCTCGCCTCCTCCGCCATTCCGGCCGCAGCCAGCCGTGCCTTCTCCGCCTGTCCTGCCGCCTGCCGCCTCGCCCGCTCCGCCCGGAGCGCCACGCTCAGCTGGTCCACCTCCTCTGCCTCACTCGCGTATGTCGACACTGACCGAGGGTCTGTGTCGTCCTCATCAGAGCCGCTCTGCTCAGACCCTTCCGAGGAACCTTGCGCGCCGTCCTCTAGCGCGCGCGTCACCGCCGCCGCGGCAGCGGCGGCGGCGGCGTGCACAGCCGTCATGGATAGCCCCGCCGTCGCTGGTGGGCTGCTGCAGCCTGAGCACGGCCATTGGCTCAAGGATGCTGCCAAGGGGTCCTGAGCGCCTCGCCGCCTGAGAGGCACTGCAGGCTCAAGCCACGACTCCGGATATGCAGCCCGCGCAGAGGACGCGTCTGGATCAACGACCCTCTGGACAGGCGTCCCCATCGTCGAGCTACCAACGCGGAGCAGGAGTCAGAGTCGAGGCGGCGCCTGGGCGGATCGAGCGGGCAGATTGGGAATTTTGGAACGTACGAGTCGACGCGTGACTTTTCTTAAAACAATGAATGTTCAAAATGGTCTGTGAAAACAAAGAGAAACCGCGAGAAGAAAGCATGCGTGACAGCATTGAACGTCCTCTGAAACGGCCGCCCCTCAATGCGCGCTCAATGGCCCAGGCCGTCGCCTCGCCGCGCCATTCGGTGCAGCAGGCGACGCCGCAGAAGCTGCAGTCGCGCTACAGCGACCTCTGCTCTGCCTATGGCCTCGTCGCGCCCTCTCCTCCGCGCCTCGCCCAGGCTGCGCCTGCTGCTGCGCCTGCCACCGAACCGACTGCAGCCTCCGCAGCCGAGTCCGCCGCCACCAGCACCAGAGCAGGACACGGCCTCCCGCGGCCGTCCCCACGGCGTCGGAGAGCCTCGACCGCCTCGCTGAGCTCGGCCGCCGCGGCAAGCAGCGCCTCCAGGGACGCTGTCCCCTGCGCCGCTGGGCCGGCAAGCGCTTCAGCTCCCACCCTCAACCGGTGCGGAAGTCGGAGAAGTGACGCCATGGCATGCGCGAGCTGCGCATCGCTCGGACGCGCCGCTGCCCCGCCGCGTCTCGTCGACCGCGGTGACGAGGTCGGCGAGGTCGATCCCTTTCGGCGTGTGTCCAAGCAGTGCGACACCCTCTTGCCGCTCCTGCACTCTGCGGGCGGGCAGAGGCGCGCATCGGCGCTTGCTGACGCACTGCAGCTGTCGCCACGCGCGCTCCTTGGCAACGCGAAGAGCGAGCAGGCCCTCCGCTGCTTACCGGCGGAGGCCTTGCTGCTCAGCCGCTCCGGCGGCGCCCGCAACGCCGCCTCGCGCAGCTCGCTGCACGCCGCCTCGCGCAGCTCGCTGCACCGCTCGTGCTCCCGGGAGGCGGCCGCGCCGACCGTCCGATCATACAGCAGCCCCGGACGTTCGCGCGGCAGTACCGGCGTCGACATCGACAGCGGCGTTCAATCCGGCCGCGACCGGGCCCACACAGCCCGCCTCCGCGGGCGGCACGGCGGGAGGTCACCCGCTTGCGACGGGGAGTTCCGTCAAAAGCTCGGGGAGGGACTGAAGGAGCTGCGCAGTCTGCTCGGGGAGAACCAGGAGCTGAGGCATCTACTGCGGCAGCGAAAGGCCCTACGACCATCACCACCGGCACCGGCGGCGGGGGGCGATGCTCTCTCCCCCGAGCGTGCCGGCTCAGAGGCGTCTCCGTCGGCCGAGCCCGAGGGGGCCGACAGCCCGTCACCGAGCGAAGCCGCAAAACACGAGGACGGGGTTGTTGCGTCCCGAAGTCGCAATCGCTTCAGAGAGGCGTTCGCGGCCGAACTGCAGCCTGTGCTCGACGATGCGCTCATGCGGGCACGCAGGCGGCTGTCCGAGTGCGTTCAGGCGGCAAACGAGAGGGAGGCGGAGCTGCGCAGGCTGAATGACACTCTCTCGGCCTTGCGCGACGACGCGGAGGACTGTCCAGCCAGCACGGCGTTGGAGCTGCGCTGTTCTGAGACCGAGCGTCGCCTCACCGAGAGAGACGCGAAGTGCGCAGAGGCGTCGGAGGCGCGAGCGGTGCTCGACCACTTGCTCGGGCGCCTGCAGGGCGACGAGGCGGCGCGCGAGGTACGCCTGAAGGAGCTCAAGGTGGAGCTCGTCGAGGCGGAGCACACGCGCTCGGTGCTGGAGGGAAAGCTGCACTTTGCCGAGGAGACGCAGCAGGTGGCGTTGGACGGCGTACGGGCAATGCGCGAGCGGCTGGAGGAGCAGCGAGCGCGCAACACGCGCAACAAGGCTTCCCTCGAGGCGCGCGTGCAGGCGCGCAAGAGCGCGCGCGCCGAGCTTGGCGATGGCGGCGGCGCGGAGCAGCAGCGTTGGATGGGTGCGGAGCGGGCGGCGTCGCCTCGCGAGAGGGGCGGGGCCGCTCTGGACGAGATGACGTGGGCGCGGCTGTCGGCCCTCACCGGCGCCACGCGGCCGGGCGAGGTCGCAGCATATGCGCGCAAGGCGTGCGGCGCGCTGGAGAAGCTGAGAGAGGCGGAGCGGGTGCAGCGAGAGCGGCGCGACGCGCTGCTGGCCGAGAAGGAGGCGCTGGGCAACTACTTGGGATCGTTGCGGCGCGTGGCGTCCGAGGAGGAGGCGAGCCCCGTCATCGACGCGCACTGGAAGGAGGTTGAGATGGAGGCGTGCCGCAAGGAGGCGGCGAGCATCAAGGCGGCGCACCGCCTCTCGGAGGCACAGAAGGCCTGCCAGGGCGCCGTCGACCAGCTGCTCGCCCTCGACGGCCGGCTGCGAAAGCGGTGGCTCCTTGACAAGGCGCCGGCGGGGCTGCGAAGTGGCGTGCAGAAGGCCCAGTCGACCATGGAGGCGATCTCCACTCACCTCGGGCAGCTGCGCTCCAGCGACCCCGTCGCGTCGGCGCAGGCGGCCAGAGAGGTGCACTCGATCGTGTCGACGCAGCTCGTGGGGCCAGTCGGCGGCTCGGGGATAGCCGAGGCGGCGCCGGGGAAGGGCGGCGGAGGCGACGCGGCCGGGCGGCCGAGCTGGACGACCGCTACTAGCAGGCCGTCGGCGGCCCAGCGGCGGCGCGGCGAGGCGGAGGGCAGCAAGGAGGGCCTTGCAGCCGAGGCGCGTGCGTTGTGGGCGACACAGCTGTGCACCTCTGTCGAGAAGTCGCACGCCATCCTGCTGCAGTTGTGGCGTGCGTCGCCCGAGGAGCTCGCCTCGGCGCTGCCCGACCGCGCGGTGCACCTCCAGTCGGACATGTGCCACAGGCTCAACCGCCGCGCGGAGCCACCTGCAGTCATCGAGGCGAGGCTCGAGGCGGAGGCCAAGGAGCGCTGGCTGAGGGCCGGCGCGGGGGTGGTGGCGGAGTTGCGAGGCCGCTTGCGCGGGCAGCCCGGAAACGAGAAGAGCGACGGCTTGGCTAGTGGCAGCGCCGGCAGTGCTGCGCCGGCCCAGCGAGCTGGCGCGATTGCGTCGCACGAGAAGAAGGGATGGCTGCGATCGCGCTCCTCGTCGCTTGAGAAAGAGCGAGGCCGAGAGGGGGGAGAGAGGGTCGCGACGCGCGCCGACCTGAAGGGTGCTGCAGCGGCGTTGACTGGAGAGGTGGCCGAGTGACATTGTGTGCCCGTGAAGGAGGGATTGACAAACATTCGAACAAAGAAGAGGCGACGACGAGAGGAACCGGCAGAGGATGCAATGACGTGACCCCCCCCCACCCCCACCCCCCCTCACCCACGTGCACTGGGCCTTGCACTTGCAATGCCGTGGGGCTCCTGTCGTCTAGACGTGGAGACGCGGACCTTACCTTACCTTACCTAGGAGCTGAACCCAGCCACACCGCGACGTCGGCAGTGTGGCCAGCGCGCGCGTGGCGAGAGGACACACCCCTTGGAGTGTGTGCGTGTGTGTGAGTGTATGCGCCTCGTGCCGACGCTCGCCAGCCGCGGCGTCGTCCACCTCGCCTCCGCCGCCCTCGCCGCGACGATGCTCGCCTCCTCCTACTCCTCCGCGTCGGCGAGGACGGTGGTCGACTTTTCGGCGCCGTCGACAGCGGCTGCCTTCGCCGCCGTGGACGACCGCGTCATGGGCGGCGCCAGCACGTCTCGAGTGGTGCACGAGGACGGCGCGGCGCTCTTTGAGGGCAACCTCATCGTCGAGGGAGGCGGCTTCGCGAGCGTGCGGTACTTGGGCGAGATTTCACTCTCGCCCGAGGCGGAGGCGCTGTCGCTGGAGGCGAGGAGTGACGGGAGGAAGGGCTACAAGCTCACACTGAACAGCGCCGCGGCACCTCAGGGCGTCTCGTATCAGCTCGTCCTGCCGCAGCTCGACGAGGGCGCGCCGTTCGAAAGGTTGCGGCTGCCGTTGGCCGACTTCAAGCCGTCGCTGCGCGGCCGGCCTGCTACCGACGCGCCGCCGCTGCGGGCTGCAGACGTTCGCGGCCTCGGCCTGATGCTGAGCCGGTACGAGAGCGGTGGCGGGATAAAGGAGCCGATTGCGCCGGGCTCGTTCCAGCTCCGCCTACGAAGGCTTGCCGAGGCGGAGAGCGAGCTGGCGATCAACGGCCGGAGGTGGGTCAACCCGCAGTGACGCTGTGGGGAGAGGCAGAGGCGAGGCCGCCGCGCACCGCCGCCCGCACGGAGCCCCCCCACATACAGCTGCAGCATGCGATGTAAGTGTAAAAACTGTAGGCGCCCACACACTGTTCCAGGGGTCACGACACGCACCGACCCTTCACGAACCGAAAGGCTGTGCCCGGGGAAGGCACACGACGCCGAGTTTTTTTCGCTGTACGTTGCGCAGTTTGCGCCGCCGCCGCACTTCCGATGTCGGTGCGCAGCGTTACGTCGTTGGCCGAGATCAGCAAGGAGGGCCTCGAGCTGACCGCTGTCGTCGGGCCGCTCTTGGCTGAGGGCGCGGAGCCGCCTCCGGCGCGCCCAAAACGGCGTCCAAAAAAGGAGTGGTCGTCGGCGCTGACCGCCATGACGGGGTTCGCCGCGCTCTTCGTGGGCTGCTCGCCGATGCTGCTGCTCTGCGTCTCGCTTTCGATGTACAGCGGCCTCCCGCCGGCAGCAGACGACGCGGGTGCCGCCGCGGCCGGAGGCAAGGGCGGGAGGGGAGGGAAGAAGGCGGCTACGCACGGGAGCGCGCACAGCCACCTCCACCGCCCGCGCGCGGGCAACGACTCGCGAGGGCTCAACGAGCCCAACCAGACGTTCAAGGTTCGGCCCAACGCCGAGCCTGAGCCGTCGGACAGCACAGAGGCGCCGTCGGAGGCGTCCGCAACCCCGGCCGACATGCACCCTCGTCTCGGCATCACCGCGGAGATGCAGGCGCGTCTGGCTGCTCCGTTTGGCGACGGTGGGGGCGAGCGCGAGCGGAGAGAGGATGGCGGCGCCGCACCCGGCCGCGCCTCTGTGGCGCCCATGGGACGGTTCCGAGAAGGTTCCCTCGAGGCGGCCGCGGGGGAGGAGAGGCGGAGAGCAGGAGGGCCGTCGTAGAGATGGACCGTGCTGGTCCCCGAGAGAAAGGGAGGGACGAGGGAGGGGAGGGGAGAGGAGATGTGGGAGGTGTAATATTTGGTTCGTGTGGGTCAGACGTTGGCGCACACTCCAGGCGGAGGAGATATTCTAAGAAAGAAAGAAGACACACAACCCAAGAAATTCTTGGATTTTATCATCCAGAATTCTTTATATTTATCTCGGTTCCCGGCTCGCGGCCTCCTGTCCCCCAGCCGTGCGTATGACGCGGCGACGCTTGTGGCGCGGCGCCGTGCGATTGCGCTCGACCCTCTCTGCGGCGCCGCCCACACGCGTCGCTGCGCTGCGGCAGCTCGTCGCCGAGGAGTCGCCCAATCTATTTGCTTTTGCGGGCGGTGGCGGGCCGAGCGCAGGCGGCGCGGCGACGAGCAGCAGCGGCGCCGCCGCGCTGTCCGAGCGCGCCGTCGCGCTGGCGGCGGCGGCCGGGCCGGTGGAGCTCGACGCAGCGCCTCTCGCGGCCAGCCTGGACGACCGCTACGGCCGGCGCCACACGTACCTCCGCATCTCGCTCACCGAGCGCTGCTCGCTGCGCTGCACGTACTGCATGCCCGCGGACGGCGTGTCGCTCACGGACGCGCGGCGGCTCCTCTCGGCGGAGGAGCTGCTCCGCCTCGCCGCCCTCTTCGTCCGCGCCGGAGTCGACAAGATCCGCCTCACGGGAGGCGAGCCGACGGTTCGGCCCGACCTGGCCGCAGTCGTCGGCGAGATCACCACGCCGTGTGGGCCGTGGTCGAAGGGGGGTGCTCCCTCGCCCCACTGACGCGGCCTTCTTGTGCAGGCGCGCTGGACGGGCTGAGGCCGCTCGGGCTGCGCCAGATCGCGATGACAACCAACGGTGTGGCGCTGTCGAGGCTGCTGCCCTCGCTGCACGCCGCCGGCCTCGACAAGCTCACACACCTGTCGCTCGACACGCGGCGAACGGCGTCTCTTCACACCTGGAGCTGGGGACAGGCCTCGACAAGCTCAACCTCTCGCTCGACACGCTGCAGCGGGGTCGATTCCTCGAGCTGACGCGGCGCGACGCGCTGCCAAAGGCGCTCCCCAGCCCCCCCTCCCCTCACCACCGCCACAATCAGCAGAATGAGAAGGACACGGCTGGCACTGCCCGCCGCCACAGGTGCTGCGCGCGGTGGACGCGGCGCTGGCGCTGGGGTACACGCCGCTCAAGCTGAACTGCGTGGTGATGCGCGGTGTGAACGAGCACGAGGTCGAGGCCTTCTCCCCTACCCCCACGGTACCCGAACCCATCCTCCCCTACCCCAGGTGTGAACGAGCACGAGGTCGACGCCTTCGCCGCACTCGCGCGCGCGCGCCCCATCGACGTCCGCTTCATCGAGTTCATGCCGTTTGACGACAACGACTGGTCCGACTCAAAGCTGGTGCGGCGGGCCTGCACACCTCCCCTACCCCCACGGTACCCGAGACGACCCTCCCCTACTTAAACGGTACCCGAACCCAGGTCCCGTCCGCCGAGCTGCTCGCCGCGCTCTCGCAGCGCCAGCCGGGCCTGCGGCGCCAGCGGACGGACCTTTCCTAGACCTTTCCTAGACCGTTCCTAGACCGTTCCTAGGCCTGCGGCGCCTGCGGACGGACGCGCACGACGTGGCCCGCACCTACTCCTGGCCGGGCGCCGAGGGGTCCGTCTCCTTCATCTCGTCAATGACGGAGCCCTTCTGCGGCGGCTGCAACCGGCTCCGGCTGACCGCCGACGGATCGCTCAAGGTTTGCCTGTCTTGCGGCTCCGAGATCTCCCCACATCTCCCCACGTCTCCCGCCCCCCCCATCCCCCCCATCTCCCCGCATCTCCTCCACATCCCCCCCACATCTCCCCCACATCTCCCACACATCTCCCCCACATCTCCCCCACATCTCCCCGCATCTCCCCGCGTCTCGAAGGTGTGCCTGTTTGGCGGCTCCGAGATCTCGCTGCGCGACGCGATGCGGGAGGGGGCAAGCGACGCCCAGCTCCTCTCCCTCGTCTCCTCTGCCCTCGGCCGAAAGCACGCGCGCCACGCGGGCCTCGCGTCGCCGCACGACATTGCGCGGACCAAGAACCGGCCGATGACGACCATCGGCGGCTAGAGCTCGGCAGCTTCTCGTCTGCGATCTCGGCCGATCTCCGTTGAGGGCCGCCCGCCGACTCTGCGCCGGCGCGTCGAGAGGCCGTCTGTCGAGGGTGGGAGTCCCCGGGCGTGGGGGTGTGGAGGGGAGTAATCGGGGATAGTACTAGCGGCCCGTTGCCCAGGGGAGGAGTGCGCAGGCGTTGGCGGATGGCGAGACGCTCGCACAGTCGCGCAGGCTGCCCCCCCTCGGGCAGCCACAAGCATTGCCGCCCCTCGGTGTCCCCCTCACACCCCGCCGGCTCTGCTCGCGCGCGGGAGCGATCGCGGACGTGTCTGGTTCTCGTTGACGCGTTGAAGAACGGCGTTGTGTGTCTCTTGACTCTTCCCAGGCTTGTGTTGAGAGAGAGCTTCCGGCTTCCGCGCACATATGTACGAACGATATAACGCATATCGGAATATCCGAATAATCAATTACACAATTATGTATGTAAAAGAGGAATGGCGAATGCAGTCGAGAGGACAGGTGGGAGGGCGGGACGCCGCGGCCGGAGATCAAAAGAGGGCGGGCGCGCCGAGTTTCGCCGGAGCACTGCGCGGGAGGGAGCTGCGCAGCTCGCGCGAGGCCCGCAGCCGGCGGCGCGGCACATCACGCGCCTGCTGCAGCGGAGACGGCAGGCCCGAAGACACTGGATTCGGATCAGAGGCCGGCTTGGGCAAGCGCGAGCGGCCGGCAAAGGCGGGAGAGGCGTCAGGCGGCGGCGGCATCGATTCTGAAGCGTGGCCGGCCGACGCCGGCCGCACATGCAGCTTCTGTTGAACCACGCCCGGGCCGCGCCGTCTGCGTCGCACCGCGGAATTCTTTTTTGTGGTGAAAACAAAATAGTTTCGGGGGGGGCAGTGGAGGGCGCCCCCGTGTTTCTGTTGTCGCGCGCGGACGGACAGGGCTGCGGCGATCCTGAAGCGTTCGGATTTCTGCGTGTGTTCGCTGTGCACTCTCAGTGAAGAGATTGCAGGCGGAAGGCCTTTTCGCGGATTTCTTCTTCTCACGCGGCGCCCCCCCCCGGCACCCATCATGGCGCTCGCCTCGCGCAGCGCGCACCGAGGAGGACGCCCCGCCCACGGACTGGCTGGCCGAGCTGCCGCACGAGCTGCACCTCCGCATCCTCGAGGGCGTCGACGACTTCTCCGACTGCGCCGCCTTCAGCCTCGCGTCGCCGCGCCTCGGCCTCCTCGCGCTTCGCAGCGGCCTGGCGCGCTTCGAGGACCCGCTCTTCGCCGTGGCGATGCGGCTGCTGCTCATCGAGCGCTTCGCCGCATCGTTGGGGTCGTCGATCATGGACACGCTAAGCGAGGCCACCCTCCGCAAATACACCGCCGACCGCCGCGCCAACGCCGACCACTTCCCATGGCTTGCGAGGGTGAGCCCGGCGCTCCGCCTCACGTCGGAAGTGGAGGGCGCTGGAGAGCGCCGAGCCGAGGTCTGGAGGCTGCGGCGCGGCGAAGTGAATGACGCGAAGCTGCGGATGCGTCTCTTGCGGAGCGGCCAGGTGCAACATTTCGAGGGCGAGCGAGGCGCGGAGCGGTTGGTGCGCCTGAAGTTTGCCAGCGGCCAGGTGCAGCACTTCGAGGGCGACGCAGGCGCGGAGAGGAAGGTGCGAACGGTGTTTGCCGATGGCGCCGTGGCGCACTACGAGGGTGAGAAAGGTGCGGAGCGGGTGGTCCGCGTGGTGTGTGCCAGCGGCAGCGTGCAGTACTACGAGGACGAGCGAGGCGCGGAGCGGCTGGTGCGCAAAGAGTTTTCCAGCGGCGAGGTGAAGCATTTCGAGGGCGAGCGAGGAGCGGAGCGGAAGGTGCGCGCTGAGCTTGCCAACGGCCAGGTGCATCACTACGAGGGCGAGCAAGGCGCAGAGCGGAAAGTGCGCACGGAGTTTGCCAGCGGCACCGTGAAGTACTACGAGGGCGAGAAAGGCGCGGAGAGGAAGGTGCGCACGGTGCCTGCCGATGGCCAGGTGCAGTACTGTGAGGGCCAGTGAGGCGAGGAGCGGAAGGTACGCATTGACTTTTGTTCCTTCCTTCCGCGCACCTTTCTTCCGCGCACCTTTCTTCTTCTTCTCGGAAGGGCGGCGGCCGCGGGCGGCAGTCCCGGGAGGCACGCCGGCGGAAGGGCTCGTCTTCGCGGGGCGGGGTGCGCACTGCGCGCCGCGAGGATGAGGCTCAGCCTGAGCCAGGGGAGGGTTGGGAAGGGGGGGCGAGGCCAGAGGAGTATGACGGCCTCTTCGACTGCCCATAAGGGGCCGTTGTCTGCTGTGCCTTTTGTGGTGCTAGTGCCACCGCAGGCGCGCGCAGCGCGGTAGGGGATCTGTGGCACGCGGCTGGGTCGGTCGACGCGAGCTGGTGGCAGGTCGAGGCGGACGGAGGGCGCCTCTTCTTTGTGCGGGTCGCGGAAAAGGCCGCATCGTCGCGCTCTCCGCCGAGGCGAAAAAACAAAAACAAAAACCACCCCTCCCGCCACCGCCGCACCCACCACCACCGCTCCCGCCGCCACCGCCCTCTCCGCATGCGCCCTCACCACCTCCGCCCTCGTCACCCCCATCCTCGCCGCCTCCGCCCTCACTACCTCCGCCCGCGCCACCTCCGCCTTCGCCAACTACGCCATTGCCACCTCCGCCCTCACCACCTCCGTCCCCACCACCTCCGCCCTCACCACCCCCGCCATCGCCACCTCCGACCTCGCCACCTCCGCCCTCACCACCCCCGCCATCGCCACCTCCGCCCTCACCACCTCCGCCCTTACCACCTCCGCCCTCACCACGTCCGCTATCACCACCTCCGCTCTCACCACCTCCGCCATCGCCACCCCCGCCCTCGCCACCTCCGCTCTCGCCACTCCCGCCCCCACCACCTCCGCCCTCACCACCTCCGACCCCGCCACCTCCGCCCTCACCACCCCTGCCATCGCCACCTCCACCCTCACCACCTCCGCCCTCACCACCCCTGCCATCGCCACCTCCACCCTCACCACCTCCGCCCTCACCACCTCCGCCCTCACCACCCCTGCGCTCGCGATCTCCCCCCTCTCCGCCTCCGCCCTCACCACCGCCGCCCTCACCACCTCCGCCCTTGCCACCTCCGCCATCGCCACCTCCGCCCTCACCACCTCCGCCCTCACCACCCCCACCCTCACCACCCCTGCGCCCTCCGCCCTCTCCGCCTCCGCCCTCACCGCCTCCGCCGCCGCGCCGGAATCGTCGTGGGGATCGGTGGACGTTCTCGTGATCGCGTGTGTCGGACGGGGGGGTCGCGGGCGCTGGTGGATGCGCGCGGTTGTGTGTACTACGCAATAGTACAGCATGCTCGCGGGTTGTGCATGATGGTGTTGACATGGCTGTCTTGTGCAGCCATATAATATTCATATTATATTTATATTGCATGCTTTAGATAGCTAGGTCTCGAGATCTATACATGTTTTCGACGTACGCAAAACCTCACGGCCTCGGAACACGAAGCCGCGACGATTATATCGTCGTACTGCCTCGTAGTACCGTGTACTACCATATAGTAGATGTTTTGGCCCCTGCTCCGCAGGCGTGAGAATGGTGGGCAGGGAGGCTGCGACAGGAGGGAGGGGAGGTGGGGTGGGTGAGAGAATGAGAGCGGACGACGGTGTGACAACACTGATGCATGCACGACCCTCCCCTCGTGCAACCCTCCCCGAGCGCGAAATGATTATGATTGAGGACGCAGACGCATGCCCGACCCTCCCCTCGTACAACCCTCCCCCAACGCGAAACGGATTGTGATCGAGGCACGCGAGGAGGGTGGCCCTCCCCCCTCTAAAACCCTCCCCCAGAGTGAAATGGGAGAATCTGAGTACAGGAAAGGGGGGGAGGGTGCCCTTAGACCCTTCCCCCCCCCGAAATAGGCTGAAAATAGTGCTTCGGAGCCCCCCCAGGCTACCCTCCCCCCCGAGGAGGACCTATCACCCCCCAGTGTTTTCGTACAAGTGAGAGAGAGAGAGTCTCTCTTTTCTCCCAGTAAGCTATAAGTACGTAATAGGTAGGTAGGTAGGTAGAAAGGTGAAGAACAGCCAGGCTCGGACTGGACACCAACGCGGTATGGGTGGACGCAAGACAGATGATGACGACACGCACGAGCGACACACAGACACAAACAAGCTCACAAGACACACAGCCAGCTGGCTGCCACACACCCTGAGTTGGCGTACACATAACTCAGGGCCACATTCCTCCTGTCGCCCCCCCCAGCACTCCAAGGTGCCAAGAGAAACAAACAAGGGCACAACATCACAACAGACGACAGGAGGTAATATGCGAGGCTAGAGCAGGCTTGCTCCACCTCTAGCAATCTCGCCGGCCGGCGAGGCACGGACGAGACCGTGTGTGGGGTTAGTGAGGTGTCTATGGTCCCCCTCCTCACGGGCTAGCCGCCAGCGGCCAGCCCTATCTCGCACTCACTGGCGGTGACAATTCAATGTGTGAGTGTTAGCGATCACACACACCACACACACACACACACACACACACACACACACACACACACACACACACACACACACACACACACACACACACACACACACACACACACACACACACGTTAGCTCTTAGGTAGGTAGGTAGAAAGGTGAAGAACAGCCAGGCTCGGAAGACTGGACACCAACGCGGTATGGGTGGACGCCGGACAGATGATGACGACACGCACGAGCGACACACAGACACAAACAAGCTCACAAGACACACAGCCAGCGGGCTGCCACACACCCTGAGTTGGCGTACACATAACTCAAGGCCACATGCACCTGCCCCAGCTCTTGGAAAAGAAACACCCACCTGTTGACGGAGGCTTGAGCGCGAATGTCGCTCGCTCGCCTAGCTCGCCTCCCCTGTCGAGGTCAGCGCCTCCGCTGCATGTCTTCGCTGTGCCCTCTCACCGAGTGCGGCCACCCAATCATCGACGTCGAGAAGCTCAAGCGCGGAAGCGACGCCGAGGCGTCAGCGCTCGGCGCGGCGCTCGGCGACTATGGCTACTTTTACGCGGCCAACGTGGAGGGCCTGTCGGCAGAGTACATCCGCAGCCTGTACGCCTACTCCGGGCGCTGCCACGCCCTCCCGGCCGCCGTCAAGCACAAGTACCGGCAGCGCGGCGGCACCGGCGTGTACAGCGGTCCAGACATCGGCCAGCCAGAGCTGCAGTACGAGGCGGAGGGCGCCGCGGCGCGGGTGTGCGGCTGGGACTACTCCCGTGCGCGACTCTCGCTGGGCGACGGTGCCCGCAATCCGGCCTGCCGCCTCTGCCGTTTGTTCACACCGTTGCACTGGATTCGTTGTTGAGTCTGGCAATCACGCGAGATGCGGCCGAGATTAGAACACACGCCCGAGGCGTCACCGAGGGCGGGCGGGCTGATTCGTGGCGCGTGTTCGAGTCAGGCGTCACCGAGGGCGATGCGCGCTACCCGTCTGCCGCCGAGCTCGACCCGCCGTTCGCGGCTGTGTTGGACGATTGCTACGCCCGCCAGGCCTCGTCAATGAAGATATGGGAGTGCACCCACCCACCCACCCACCCACCCACCCAGGGCTCTCTCCACCTTCCTTGATAGCACAGTTGTAATGCCGGACGACCGCTACGCCCCCCCCAAGTAGGCGTCGGCTCTCCCTGCCACTCCCCCACTCCGCGTCCGCAGCGACACTCGCGCAGCTGTGAACAGGACGCCGTCGCGAGAGTGCTGCTGGCAGGCTTCGAGCGGGCGCGGAATAGACAGGGAGAGAGAGGCGAGACATGATACTGTCTCGACACGGACCGTTTCCTCCGCGGCCCCACTTGCCGCCTAGGCGCTGTCGGTGCCGCCGCGCACGTTGCTGCAGATGTTTGAGGACGGCGCTGGCGACTTTGGCACGATCCGCTTGCTCCACTACCCGGGCGACGGTGGAGGGCGGGCGCGCCCGGCCGTCGCGTCGTTCGCGTGGGCCTAGTTCACAGCTGGTGGTGTGAACAGGGCTGGCAGCGCGCTTGCGGACACAACCGGCATCGGGCCGCATACAGACTTTGAGTGCTTCACGCTGATGCACCAGAATGCACCTGGGTTGCAGCTGATGCCGCGGCAGCGCGGCGGCGGCGGGCATGGCGGGTGGGTGGACGCGCCGGTCCGGCCGGGCGAGTTTGTCGTCACGGTCGGCGACATGCTCGAGCGCCTCACGAATGGCGTGCTGCTTGCGACGCCGCACCGGGTGCTACCAACGCACCACGCACGCGATTCAATCATCCGCTTCAATGCGTTCGCGCCGCACACGCTCGTGGCGCCGCTGCGACCCTTCGTGACGGCCGACCGGCCCGCGGCCTATTCGCCGGTCGAGATGCGTGAGCATATGGAGACCACAATGCGGAACCTCGAGGCTGGGCTCGGCTCGTGGGACACGGAGCGGCAGCGCAGCCGCAGCGCGTCGTACGAGTACAACGGCGGCGAGCGGAGGGTGCTCGAGTGCGAGCCGAATACGATGTCGCAGTAGGAGACGCGGTTGCCTGGGAGACAGTATCATGAACTCAAGGTCCACCGCCATGGATGTGACGACCCCGGCGTCCCGCTCGAAGGAGCCTTCCTGCTCGAACTCCGGGCGCTCTTTCGCGCTCTCACGCCATTCCTTCAACAGCAGGAGAGCGAGCCATGATGCTCCAGATGGCCGAGCTTACCCGCGAGTACAGGCTGGTGCCTCTAGCCACCAAAGGAACCGAGCGGAGGGTGCTCAGGCTTGTGGATCGCGGCGCCCCGGCACCGCGCTTTAGAGAGCGCTTCTCTCACACGCTATCGTAGAGAGAGAGCCGCGACCCGCGTGCGAGCCACACTTGGCCACACACTGCGACGCGGCCGCGCGTGAGCGCGGGGGGGGGGGCACCGCAGCCATGGGCGTGTGTGCTTGTGCACGGTACACACTAGCTCTATAGAGAACAACTCCCGCGTCTCCCGGTTGGTTTCGCGTGCCCCGTAAAAAACACACTAGTGAGGAGCGTGTGGCAGCGCGGCCCCGCGCAGGCGCAGAGCCGTGGCGGTGCGAAGCATCGTACAGTGAGACCCACAAGAGTCGCTGTCCCCTTAAGCCGTGGCGCGCGTGGGCTTCGCGCGACGTACGCACGAGAAACACGTGACCGCCTCGTGCCTTGCGGGGGGAGCGGAAAGGAGGAACCTCTCCCCAAAAGCGCGAACTGCCCTGTGTGGGGGGCTACGGGCTGCAGGCTGCGCGCAGCTGCTGCAAGTTGGCGGAGACGCGCGCAAAGTCCGGTGTCGGCTCGGCGGGCGACGTGGCGAACGACGACGCGGCGGGCGACGAGCTGCCGTGCTGCGGCGGCGAGGGTGCGAGGGAGCCTGCGGGGCTCGTGGTACCACCAACCAGCGACGCAACCCGAGCAAGGGCGTCCGAAGAGAGGTGCGCTTGGAGGATGGTGTTTGGCGACGCGGCGGACGACCCCGGCGAGTGCGCTACGCCTCCCGCAAAGTCGGGCCACGACGCGGCGTCTGCCGACGCTGCCACGGCCGGCGGCGGCGGTGGCGGCGGCATGGCCGGCGACACGGCGGCGGCCGGCGGCGCCGGCTGCGCAGCGGACGGACGCGACGCCGCGGCGGGGGGCGGCGCGCGCTGCCGCTGCAGCGTGTCGCGCAGCCTGCGGAGCGCCTCGAGGGGGTCTGGCGGCGGCGGCTGCTGCTGCAGCGACGGGTGTGGCAAAGGCGGGGGGGGGTCGCGGCGCTCGCCGCCGCCGCCGCCGCCGCCGCCGCCGCAGCCGCCGCCGCCGCCGCCGCCGCCGCCGCCGCCGCCGCCGCCGCCGCCGCCGCCGCCGCTAGCCTCCGCCACCGCTGCGGCGGGGGGGGCTCGACCCTGCGCTGTGCCGAGCCTACGTGCTGAATACGCCAACTTCAGGGCACGAATACGGTATTCTTTGTGCAGTGTGTTCAGAGCACCGCGTGAATACAACGGAGAGGGAGACAGTGAATACAGCGGAATGCGGATGAAGACAGCTGAACACGTGGCCCTCTCGGGCGCTAGGTGGGGTACAAGCACACGTACTCCGCTTCCAGGGTGCCGTACAGCGAGACATGGGGAGAGATGGGGAGAGATGGGGAGATTGATTCTAGGGTTCCGCGCATGGCAGCGAGGCGGTGGATGCGGTGCGACAGCGGCGGCGCGTCCTCGCTCTCCAAAGGCGGCGGCAGCGGCAGCGGAACGCTCGCTCGCGGGCCTGGCGGGCTGCCGCAGCAAGCGACGCGCGCCGTCCGCATCCGCGCCGTCAGGCTCGCGACGCCGTCGAGCATCCTCCTCCCATCCACAGCGGCATGTCCAGCAAGCACCCGCCGCCCGCCCACAGTGTCTCGATCAACACCCGCCTCTGCCTTGACCGCCGCCGCCGCCTCCGCCTCCGCCGCCACCGCCGCCGCCACCGCCACCGCCGCCACCGCCGCCTCCGCCTCCGCCGCCTCCGCCTCCGCCTCCGACGCCTGTTCCACCACCACCTCCGCCGCCTCCTCGCCGAAGTCTTCGCCGAAGTCTTCGCCGAATGTGTCGCACGCGACCCGGCACTGCGCCCGCCCGCCCTTCCTGCAGGCGCCGCCCCGCCACGCGGGCGATAAGCCGTGGCGCGACGAGAAGAGCACCTCGATGTCGCCCTCGCCCGCATCCTCGCCCACCCCCTCCTGGCAGCCGGACTGCGTTCCAGGCTGTCCGGCTCCAGACTGCGTTCCAAGCTGTCCGGCTCCAGACTGCGTTCCAGGCTGTCCGGCTCCAGTGAGATGTCCCACTCCAGGCTGCCGTCCAAGCTGCCCGCCCCCCGGCCCGTCGCTCCGCACCGGCGCGCCCTCGAGAAGCGTCTCCAGCCGCCGAATAGCGGACTGCTGCGCGCTGATGAGCGCGTCTCGCGCCCGCATCTCCGCCGCCTGCTCGCGCAGCTGCCGCCGCAACGCTCCCGCTTCGGCGTGCGCGCTGGCCAGCGCCTCGGCGGCGCGCGGCGTGAGATCCTCCGCGAGCGCGCGCGGCTCGACGCGGCCCGCGTCGGCGGCCTCGGAGCTCGCCCGTCCCTCCCTCCCTCCCTCCGCCCTCCCTCCGCCCTCCCTCCCTCCGCCCTCCCTCCCTCCGCCCTCGCACGCTCCGCCCTCCACGCCCCTGCCCTCACTCGCCGCTCGCTCTGAAAGCTCCGCCAGGCCGCTGCCCTCTTCGCCGCCGGCCTCGTGCAGCCTCGCGTGCCGCACCGTCGGCGGCGGGCGTGGGAAGGGGCGCCGCTCTCCGCTCGCCTGCCGCGTCGCCGGCGTCCGCGGCGGGCTGGCTGCGCCGGGTGGGTACTCCTCCCGCCCAGAATGCCTCACCGACAGCTCCTCGCCCGCAAGCTGCAGCTCCTGGCCGCGCAGCTGGAGCTCGGCGCCCTTGAGCGCGAGCTCCTCGCCGCGCGACTGCATCTCCTGCCCGCGCTGCTGCAGCTCGTCCGCGTCGGAGGGGCTCGGCTCTGCACCGTCGCCGGCCCAGCTGCTGGCCGCCTCAGGCGGCGCGCCGGCCGGCCAGAGGTACATCCGAAGCGCCTCCCATCGCTCCTCGCGATTGCTCATCGTGGACGCGATCGCAGATTTCTTTTTTTGTGAGCCGGTGTTTCATTGACGCCGTCGACTCACGAGTACGGGCTGGGCGCGTGCCGCGACGCGTCAAGGTCCTCGCCCTCGCACTGCCCGTAGTCCTGGCCGCGCAGCATGGTGCGGCGCAGCGCGTCAAAGTGCCGTCGCGCGTAGAGCGGCCGCTCGTCGCGCATCGCCTCGGCCGTCGCCGCGCAGACGGCCGGGTCGATCGGGCGGAGCGGCCGGCCCGTCGACATGGCGATCGTGACGAGCTTGGCCGCTTGCTCGAGGTAGTAGAGCGAGTCGAAGGCCTCCGCCGCCGTCTCGCCCGTGACGATCACGCCGTGGTTGGCCATCATCAGGCAGCGCGCCGAGCCGAAGGCGTCGACGATGCGCGAGGCCTCGTCGCCGTCGTGCACCAGGCCGTGGTACCGGTCGTACGAGGCGACCTCGCCAAAGAACTTGAGGCAGTTCTGGTGGACCATTGGCAGCTGGTTGTCGGTCAGTACTGTCAGCGCGGTCGCGTGCGGCATGTGCGTGTGGAAGACGCAGCGCGCCGCCTCTCCCTGCGCCTGGTGCACCGCGCGATGGATGTAAAAGGCGGAGATCTCGGCCTCGCCGCGTCCCTCGAGGATGTTGCCGTCGGCGTCGAGCAGCAGCAGGTCGTCCGCCCCGACCTCGGACCAGAGCAGGCCGTGCGGCACCAGGAGGTAGCGGTCGGGTGCGACCTCCATCGTCAGGTGGTTGCACACGCCCTCCGCGAAGCCAAACGAGTGGCAGAGGCGGTACGCGGCCGCCAGGTCGACGCGGTCCTGGCGGAGCAGCGACGCGGCAGCCGCGGGTGCGGAGGCCGTGCTGAGGCGTCGCGATTGGCTGGAAATAACGTGCGGTAGACGGCGTAGCATGACAGACCGGCGAGACTGATTACGTCTCGAAGGGCGCACGGCGAAGCTGGAGCGCTGTGCTGGCGGCGTTCCTCTGTAACAACGACTAGGATACGGTCCCGTTTTGCTGTTCACAGCTAGGGACGGCCTCTGCGGCAAAGTCAAACCACCCTCCCACCGAGGGATGCCTAAGCGTGAATTTACCGCCCTAGAAATAGATTTAAATTGCGTTTATCGCCTGTTTAGCGCCGATCTTACCGCTCATCGGACAGACGTGGACGGGGAATTTCCTTTTCTTTTTTTACTTTGCCTTCGATGAAATGAAACAACGCAAGACGGACATGGCATATCGCACTCGGGCCCACAGACATCCCGCACACTCGCCGCACACCCGCCGCCCCCGCGCGCGCCCCACCCCGGCCGGGAGAGAGGGGAGTGACAGTTTGGGACGGCAACAGAACGAGTATGTTGAGTCCTGGCTCAACAACGCAGAGAGAAATGAAGCCGTCCGGCTCACAAGTCCGGCTCACGCGCCCCGACTGACCGATCTACCGCACTGAACACTTCCGCCCCCTCGCTCCCAACCCATCCACTCCGCCCCGGGCCGCGCCGCGTGATCTCGGGCCGCGCGATCTCGGGTGATCTCGGGCCGCGCGGCGTGACCTCGGGCGATCTCGCACAACTCGCGCAATCCCGGAGCTCCACGCCACTCCACTCCACCCCACCCCACCTCACCCACCGCCGCGCCGCGCTATCTCGGGCGATCTCGGAGCGTCGCTCGCGCGGCGTCACAACCTGCTCAAAAAAGGAAGGGCCTGGTTGGAGCCACGGGGCTCACGAGGACGTGCTCGCTCGGTTCTCGCCGCCTCGCCCTGCGCCACTTGGGCCGGTGAGGCGGCGCCCCGCGCGGCGCGTCCCTCGCCCCGTCACGCCGACCCCTGCGCGCACCGCTCATCTTCAGCCCTCTTGGGGTTACTCTTGCGCTCACGCAGGGGAACCCGGCGGTACTCCCTTCCCCCCACCTCCGACGGGTTAGGTCGGTTCTGCGCCCCTTGGCGCCTGTGCATGTCCCGCGTGCCCGCCTGCCAGGGCTGATGTAAGGGTCTGTGTGCCAGTCTGCACCAGTCCGCGCCCTTGCCGTGCCAGACATCTAACTATGAACTCGGGGGCACGGGACGCGGCACAAACGGGGCACAAACGCCAGGCTACAAAGACGGGGAGGCACGTAGAGCGTCGGGGAGGAAGCTGCTTCGCTTCGAGGGGTGGCCGAGACTGGCGAGACTAGCGACGCGGTTGGTGCAGATGGTGCTGCCGCACGTCGGCCTGAAGGACGTGCGGGCTCTACCAGCACCTCGCCCAGTGCGACTCAACGTTCCGCGGCGAGAAAGACGACCAGCGGTGGCAGGGTGGGACGACGACGTCGGCGAGACGTGGCGCAAGTGGGACGGGCGCACGCTGTACATGGACGTCATCGGACCCTTCAAGGAGACCACGCTGTGTCCGCGGCGCCGCTAGGAAGGCTACCACCCGCCCAACTTACGCCGGCGGCGGAGCTGCTGCCTCTTTCCGAGTTCTCGTCTACCAACGAGTTCTTCGAGCAGGCGCAGCGACGGTACACCTCCGGCGTACTTCCTCGCAACTGGCTCGCCCTCGCCGAAGCTTTCGTCAGCGAGGCGTCCAAGAGGGGCGGCCGCTACAAGCCTGCCAAAAGTAGGAGGACTGGCAGGTGCAAGAACCACAAGTGCTGGGGGGGGGGGGGGGGGCGCGAGGCGGTTCGTTTCGTCGCAGTCAGCCAGAAGGGGGCTGGCGCTTTCCACCTGAATGGTATGCGATCCCCATGCGGGATGTTGATATGAAGATGGAGACGTGGGCGATGCGCATTACAGTTCAGCGCCGCCTCGGCCTCCCGCTCGATGTTGCCTGCCAGGCGGTGGAGGCGGGCAAGAAGGCGCCAAACGGCAAGCCGCACGAAGAACTCGGCGATGCCGCAATGGTCAACCCGCGTGCGAAGCACGCGACAAGACACAAACTCCTGCTCAAACGACTCGTCAAGACCCTTCGCTCGACGTGGCGGCGGCGAACATCGGCAAAGGGCATGTGCGCCTCATTGGCGACTTGAAACTTACTTGGAGCACTTGGAGTGCTTACGAGCTCGCTTAAGTGCAAGGGTGGCGACCGGCTCGGCTGGAATGGGGGCTTTTGTCGCCTTCGGCAACACCGCGAGCTGCTCGACTTAGTGATAGGGCATGCTGCATGGCCACGGCCAGAGGGGGGGAGGGGGGGGAGGCGGCGGAAGAGGAAGGAGGAGGAGAGGAGAGCGAGGGGGAGGCGGAGGCGGAGGCACCTGTGACGCCCCCCTACAAGGGCGGCGACTATACCGGTTTGCGCGGGAGAAGAATTGCGACCTGCGCTTGCTTGACTTCGGGACGCTCGGCGGCTTCGGGCAGGGCGTCCGGAAAGAAAACGCAGACTGAAATCGGTCCAGCCCCTCTCCCTGAGGGATGCCTAGTTCTGAGGGCAGAAAAGAAAAGAAAGAGCGGGCAAAAAGCAGACTGACTTGTGACTACGGTCCAGCCCCCCTGAGGGATGCCTAGTTCTCGTGCGCCTCCCGTCGTCCTCTGCCTCTGTGAAGACACACCACTGTGTATAAGTCCGATTCAGTCCTCCTACCAAGACTCGTCCGGGCCGCGGCCCGTGCGCTTGCGCCCCGAGGCGAAGATCTTCGCAAAGATCTTGTCGCCGCGCACCCACTTCTCCATCTCGTTCATCAGACCCTGCGCGCCGGCCTGGAGGCCGTACAGCCCCTCCTCCCCCGTCTCGCGGTTCGGCGCAAAACCGAATTGCTGGCCCACCAGAGCCGCCTTCCAGCACCACGCAATCTCGCACAGCCTGCGCAGCGCGGGCGTGCCTGCCTTGGCCTCCGCCGAGAGGCTCCACTTCATGAGGTCCGACATCGCCTTCGTGTAGCGCTGCTCGACCACAAGCGTGTTGCTCACGCCTGGGACGCCTGTTCATCACATTGAACGCGTGAAGAGACGCCGCTCACAGCCTCGCCTCGGGCGGCGGTGACGTAGCGAGGCGCGCCTATTCAAAACATAGAAGCGTGAAGAGACGCCGTGTTCAACGGCAGCTGTTAGAGCGGCTCGCCGGTGCGGTCGAGCCGCATGCTGTCGCCCGGCTTGGCCTCTGCGTAGTCGCCGCCAAAGAGCTCGCGCGTCTTGCTCTTGCGCGAATGCAGCGACCAGTAGATGTAGATGCTCCACGGCGCCTTTGACGCAGGGTCGCTCGGCTGGTTCTCGTACACGACCGCGATCACCTCGAGCAGCTCGTCGAGCGTGATGTCGAACTCCTCATAAAAGATCAAGCGAACAGAAACACCCGCCGAGTTGAACGCGTGCTTTCTTGCGAGCCTTGCTCCCGCCTTGACTGCGGCGCACGCGAGCCTCTCGGCCAGGTCCTCTCGGATCAGCCCCTTGCTCGCGAGCAGCTGCAGCTCCGGCTTGAGGGCGTACTTGAGCGTCGAACAGACCGTCGCGCCGATGCTCGCCTGCGCCAGCGTGTAGCGCGCATCCGAGTCGAGACTGTCGATCCGTACCAGCGCGGCCGTCGGCAGCGTAAACGCCTGCAGTGCCTCCGTCAGCGCCGCCTGTAACAGAGTGGACGCTAGTGAAGCTCTAGCCGTTCGCAGCGGCCGTGTTGCCGCCGCTCCTCGTCGAGCTGCAGCTCCTCGCCCTCCTCCGCCAACGCGATCCGGACCGCGCTCGCGACCTCGGACGGCGGCCCCTTTGTTGCCAGCGCTGCCAAGACCCGGGGCGGGATGCCGCGGCTCGTAGCGTTCCTGCTGGCGACCGGCAGCCGCCGGAAAACGGCGATCGCATGCTCGAGGCGGACCTAGTCATGGCAGACGAATTTGAGCCGCTATGCGGGGGCATCTTGTGCTCTGGCGCTCCGCTCGCGCGCCGCCGTCCTTGACGCGAGAAACCGCACATTTTTGTGCAGGCCACCAAACTGACGCCGCCAGTGCACGACGCACGCCTCCGGCACTGGCAGTGCCGCGCAATACGCGTCAACCGCAGCTTGCATCAGGCTGGAGTCCACGTGCGCGGCCGCGAG